GGCTTACCTCACAACTCTCGTGATGCCGACCAAGCGGACGGTGAGGAGAGGGAAGACAACAGGACAGCACGCATGATCAGCAGGCGACCACTTCAGCCGCCTGGGCCGAGACACATCACATCCTTCCGGCCCTGTGCCGGAGAGAGGGCGCCCGCTGCCCAATATTCTTCCTGCTGGTACGGGGGACTATTAGCCTTCCTGCGTGCGCCAAGCCAAGGCGGGCGTGATGCGGTGCTGCTGTGCTTCTGACACCTGGCATGTCACGGCGCTGAGTGCCTGCTGCGCTGATGAAATGAGCCGCCCCTGGGGAACCACAGCAGTTGGGGATCCCCTTCACCGAGCTGTGCGGGCAAACGAGCACACCGGCCCCGATCCTCATCGATAGTTTGGAGAGGGAGCACGCTGTAGAGTAAAAAAAGAAGGGCCAACCAGCGCCGGCCATTGTGAAGGGCCTGGCCTCGACGCTGTGCCACCAGACCGGCCCAAGCCGCCCGCCCTCTGCGCGCGCAGCGCGTGCAGATGCAGTGAGCCTCGCGTCGAGCTTCCAGCTCGCTAGGATCGCTCTGTTCCGGCACTCCTTGACCCTGGCTGCCGACTGACTGCATGGCTGTGTCCCGTGCTACAGTCGAGATTGTTCAATGCCCTTGGATACTTGGAGGAAGGCCCTCGCTGAGAGATGTATTCACACCGGTCCTGTGCGGGCTGGCCGCTAATATCTGATACCAGTACACTACCAGATGATCTAAAGGCCAGCTGTTGATCTTGGTGGCTGGCAGTCTCTTACCCCGGATTGATCGCCAATATTTTAGCCCCCGAGACGGGTGGCGGAATTGGCCCTGGAGATCTTCGCCATGGGTCGGGGCTGTCAGGCACAAGTGCTGTACAAGCATGCAGTGATATCCGTCCCCCTCTGTGAAACTCCGGCGCCGACATGGCCGTGCCGCGCCGGCGGTATAAACCCACGATGCTGGATCGCGTCGCTGGGCCCCCCTGCTGCTGCGGCTGGGACCCGAGACCCTGGCTGCGGGCTGCGACTGAGGACGGAAGCGCTGTTTGACAGCAGGGCAGCACGTCATGCACGCCGGGACACGGAGCAGCCCAGATTGAGACTGTCGTGTCCCACCGCGACCTCTGCTCTCGTCCACCTCCACCATACGTGCCTGTCCATCATCCCGCCCAGATCATCAGTCTCACCGGTCTCAAGTGCTCCACGGGCGCGGATGCCCGGGAGACAGAGACAGAGAGAGACAACAGGGTCGAGACACGACGTGGCCGGCCGAGCCCACCGGGTTGCATCTTCATCACCCTCATCATCATCATCCTCCTCCTCCTCCTGCCTACCTTCAGCCTTTCGAACGGCGGTGAGAGGGAATAACCCGTGTGCGAACACGCGACATGGCTCATTTCCAGCGAGCCTGGATCGCGGGTGCCCCTCCCCCCCATCGCATCGTGATTTGCGAGCCGTGGGCTCCCTCAAATTTTCTCCCGGGAAGGAGACGTGTGCAGAACCGTGGTGCACGAGCCAGCCCGAGGGCCCATCGTCACCGACATCGAGACCTCATCACCCATCGATGCGGCGGCCCATCATCGGGGTTCGGCGGCCCAGGTGTGTGCGGGTCCGCCCCCTCCTCCCCTCCCAAGAGGATCGCGAAACCTGAGCTGCTTTCCCCCGAAGCGGGCTGGCTTGGCTGGCTGACTCTGTGCCCCTCTCTCGAGAGAGACCAAATACCACATGGCATGGCATGCCCGTGTGGGACCCCTTTAAGCTTGCCCCACCAGATTGTTGGCCCGGAACCGAGCTTGTAGCGCAAGCGGACGACGGGACGAGGTTAAGGTAGTGTAGATGGGCATGGCTGGCAGGGCGGTTTTGCGATCGGGCAGAGGAGGTCCAGGCTCAGCTCAGTCAGGATATAAGCACCTGGGCAAGCAATACGGGCGACTGAAACCTGATGGCGCGCTCTTTGACGAGGGGCTACATCCCACCGGCTGCTAGTAGGAGCTATTCGTGAAATCCTGGGGCTAGTACAAAGGTGACGGGCGGGTGGCTTGATGCTGGCAGGGCTGGTTTTTTTCTTGTTTCCCGCTCGCCAGCTGGAGCCAAGCTCCCTCCAGTCACCAGGCGGGGCAGTCAAATCAGCGGCGGCATGGTCCGTGTTATTATTTGGGACAGAGCAAAATGAATAAAAATAAATAATTAAAGAAAAGAGTCCAGTCCGGGCGGAGTGGACGTGCGCCGGTGCAGTGTGACAAATCACCTCGCAAACCCTGGAACTTGGAAAAGAGGATTCTCATTTTCAAGTCCACTTTTCTGCTGATTTCTCTTGAGTAAAAAATCCTCCCAAGGGGCTCCAAGGAAAAGTTGGCAGCCGCACGTATCAGCCGCCGCCAACATGACAGACTCACGTCTACGGTCCCCAGGACTGGAAGTACTTGATATGCTGGACGGAGTCTGGACGCTGGCTTGTACCGGGTTGAAGGACGGGGGGAACCGGGGGGGGGGGTGTTTGTTGATTTGTTATTTTTTCTTTCTGCTATATATCTAATCCGATGTGTATTATAGACCATGGTCCGGGAACGCGTGTGAGGATCGGGCGCATCAAGATCTAACACGCCGGCGCTGACAGCTCACGGACAGGCTCGGTGCTTGGTGCCCAGCTGCCGGGAGCTCCCCTCGTGTTCTGTTGGCTGGAGCGGTCTACCGGTACTAGTGGTGTCTAAGTAAGAGATCTGAATAGTCTATCTACATCATCATGCCGAAAAGGACGGGAAATGCTGGGTTAGGTGATCCAGCGAAGTGAAGGGGGGGGGGGGTGGTGTTGTCAAGCCAAATCCATAAAATCGAGGTACAATTTACGAACTGGGTTCCCGGCCGGAGGAGGTGGAACGGAGGGCGACGGTGCCACGCGGACGGAGGAAAACGCGGAGGGACCTCGGGGCAGTTCGGTCGATGGCCGCTGCGGTTCCGTTTTGCCAGGCCCAGAAGCCCAGACTGCACCCGTTGCACCAGTGCCGGTTCCTTCAGGACTAATCTGGACCGCAATCGCCCAGCCCTACTGCAGGCAACCAGGCAACATACCCACAGCATGTGGTCATACCAGAGCACTTCAAAACCCATCGCAACCGCTTGGCCAAGTTGTCCCGCAGAAAAGTGCGAGATGGCGGGATGCACGCGCAGGACGACGGGCCCCCCTCCCTCAATGCATGAACAAGTGAACAATAGCAGCAACCAAAACTCTGGTACAGGGAGAGACCCATAGCTAGCGAGACTGGTCTTTTTGTTTCGTTTGTTCGGCCGGCCAGGTTGAGCCAGCCCACGCCACCGAATATCAAACACCACCGATGGAGAGCCGCGTTTTCGGGGTACGTACCTTTGACGTTCGACGTATCATGCCCGATGAGGAAAGCCGACGCGCCCGAGCTTAGGTACTTAGGTACCTAGGTACATGGGCTACTGGGTCTCTTTCGCTGGCTGTTCCTGAACTCCCAACCAACCTTGGAACACTCATTCGCGATCAAATCGAGTGAATTAACCAAGCAACTCGCTCAATTCGTGTTGGATGCAATGATGCTCCCTCTCTCATCAGAAGAGACTCGCTTCACATGGCAACAAGGCTAGCAGATGCTCAGCCCGAGTCCATTCTCACACCACCATCAACCGGCACTCCCGCCATCCCCACCACTCATTTCAGCGCGCATTTCTCCCAAGCAGCAGAGTAAAGATACAGACTGCACCGCACTACAACATAACGCAGCAACTATGCATGTCCCCCCCATCTCCCTCCCTCCCCCGCCGAGCCCCAACAATCACCACCACCACCACCACCAACACATCACACAGGCTAGCAGCGAGCATGTGCCTTACCCCGACAACAAGGTTCCGGCCACGGCGAAAGAGCTAGGAGAGCTAGGAGAGCTAGGACGACGCCGCTGCTGCTGCTCAATCACATGCCTGGGGTTTGAGAAAGCTCCAGCGGTTTGATACACAGTAGCAAGCAAGCAACCCCAAAAAGACAATGGCGGGCAGAAGGGGGGGGGCCTGCCTCGAAACCCAAGCCTCTCCTCTCGTCTCCTCTCCCCTCCCTTTCCCCACCCCGCCGGTCCGCGTCTTGGGTTTGCCGTGTCACGCTATCGGGGGAATACGGGGTGTGCCGCCTTGTCACTAGTAGACTACAGTAGACTTGAGGGGACTCCCATCCAACACGCACGTGAAAGACGACAATAACATTGGGAGGGATAGAGAGAGCCCAAGGAGGAATGGGGTGGAGGGGGCGGGGGCGCGTGCTTCTCTCACGCTCAAACTCTTCTGCATCAGGTCATCCAGTGCTGCAAGTTGCAACACACCTCAGCCGCCACGCTGGCTGCTGTGTAGCTGCACAGTATATCCCAGGCAGGCAGGCAGGCAGGCAATGCCAGTCAGTGTCGCCTCCATTCCAAACAGAAACGCGACCTCGACAAAGAAAAACCCCACGACGCGAAAATGGGAAAGGAGGGCCCGGATCCGGCCCATCCGCCGGTAGCTAGCTCCTCCAGTCCAGTCCTTCTTGTCTCGGGTGTCCTGTCGGCGTCATTGATTCATCCATTCACTGAACGGTACGCAGGCATGTTCGTAGTGTACCAAAGCAGTATGGACAGACAGGTACAGTACAGTACAGTGAGTGCATTGCAGATAGGCGAGCTCGCTTTTTCCAGCGGCCCTTCACACGGCTCTTTTATGGGTCCTCCTCACCTCACCAGACTCGAGTTGTTTAGTTTTTTTTTTTTTTTTTTTAAAAAAAAAATAGAGTATGAAAAATTTCAGTGTTTCCCCATTTTTATTCTCTTCATTTCCTCCTCCCTGCTGGCTAAGCCCTGCTGGTGCTCCACGTGGGGAGTGCCAGCCAGCCAGCCAGCCAGCCAGGCCAACCTGGAACATGCGGCTCCGCACTCATTGAGGGTTTGTGTTTTGTGATATATCACGTTTCCCCTCTTGGGCTTTTTTTTTCTGCGTTGGGTTGGGCTTTGGTAAGCAAAGAGCTGCCCGCCCCACCTGGAGAAGGGCAGATTCGTCAGTCGACGGAGAAAGTTCACACCACGATACGGTCTGCCACCGCCCCACAGAACAGAGCCGTTCATGCCGCTCTGTCAGCACGAAGTCTTTTCGGGAGCCAGTCATCGCATCCATGCCCGCCTCAATTGTCTGGCACATGCGGCGGAGTATATTGGTTGATGGATGTAAGGATAGTTAGCTAGTAGTAGTTTCAGACTGGAGAAGCAGTTGGGACATGATCATGAGAATTATTCATCAGGTTTAAGATTTTTTTGTATCAAGCCTCGTTGCTATACGAGGTCGTCCTTTTGATTGAAGGGGTAATTTCCACTCGTACTTTTGTTGTGCCCCCATCACCTCCCTTTTCCGATGTTCGCTGCGTGGCAAAGAACGCACTTTGTAGTTCGCCGGGAAAGACCATCTTTTTTTTGTCTTTCGCCTCCTTCCCGGTGACAATTGGTGTCAAGGTCTGCTGCTGGTTGCCCAACATCCCGTTTTTGTACCCTTGGGGCCGTAGTAAAATACACCCTCTTCCTTCCTGCCAGTGACCTGATGACGAAAAAAAAACCAATCCCTTGAGCCAAACCCCATCATGAGGGTATCAAGAAGGAAATAAAATAGCCTGTACTCGTGTGTACAGGAAAGCATTGATGCGATTCGGAGACCGTGGTATCATGATCGAAACGAAGCGAGAAAAAAAAGCAAAGCACACTCCAGATCAGTCGACCGCCTGCCAGGATTAGAGGCCGGTTCGTCCATGTGTGGATAAAACAAAACGCCGCCGTTCATGCTTCGATGTCGTTAAAAAAGCATGTCGCTTCGCAATGCTTGATCGATTGAAATTGTACAAAGGCACATTCTTGTGTGCCGAAGATTTGGAAGTCCAGTTTTCCTGTCCTTTTTGGGTATCACTTTTTGAATGGGTATATGCAGATGTAGAATGTCGGGTGTGCGTGAGGGCGGCCAGGATCTATGATGAGAATTACCAGCCCTTGGTGTGGTACCCGGCGAAGGCCTCCCGAGTGAACTCCTGGTCCCAGCTGCTGGCGTTGATGTCGTTGTTGTCCCTGTTCATGTGGGGCTGTTGTGGGTACTGCTTCAGGTTGGCGACGTCCTGGGAGGTGTGGCGACGCTTCAGGACGGCGTTAGCAGTCGAGGTCTTCTGAGACCTCTCCCACAAGAGGTGGCGTCGCAGCGACTCGGTGAGCTCTGTCGACATCATGTTGCGGCGGGTGGTCCTGGGAGAGAAAGCAATGGGCTGGCTGACACCGTTGCTGGTGGGCGCGATGGGCTGGGCCGAAGAACGGGGGATCTCATTGATGGATCTCAGCGGGCCACCACGGGGCTTGCGCTTCATCATGAGGGGCGCATCGTCGGAGTCGTTGGGAGAGGCAACCATGGAAGGGCCGTTGAAGTTGTTTCGTGCACGCTGAGGGATGGCAGAAGTGGACTGCGAGGCAATGTTGCCAAGGTGCGGCGCGGGACCGCGGCGCTGGTTTGACTCAAGGGCCAGGGTGATGAGAGACCGACGCGAGGTGAGGTTGGCATTGGAGTCGACGCGCTGGAAGAAGGTCTTCTCGTCCACACTGTTCTTGCCGCTCTCCTCCTCGTTCGAGTCCTCCCAGTCCTCATCGTCATCATCAATGGCGCTCTCATCGTAACAACTCTCGTCATCCTCGTCGATGACAGCAGATGATGCGGAAGGGATCTCGGTCGTCAGGTTGTTGGCGAACGAGGTCTGCTTCTTGTGCGCACCCAGCAGACCATGGTGGCGCGGAGAAGCAAGGGCGCTCTTCAGCGAGCTGTCCTCCTCCGAGGAGCCGCCAATCTGGAACATCTTCTTCTTGGGTGCTGGTGGCGCAAGGGTAGGCCTTGTGTCAACGCTGTGGCCGTGGTCGCTGTATGACTCCTCTGATGATCCACCCAGCACGAACTTGGCTCGAGACTTCTTAGACTCGACGTTCTTTGCCGCGGGGGAGGACTTGGGGGCTGGGATTTCAGATGTCGTCCTGGGTGGTGTGAAGACCGCAGGGATGGGACGCTGCGAGGGCGAAAACCCGCGCACGACGGTGGTCTTGTTGGTCTGCATGTCGGGCGAAGCCGGGGGTGAGTAGTCCGAGGGGCCGTCCGAGTCCTTGCTTGGAGACTCAGTGGTGGTTGATCCGGATCGGATAAGTTCTGGGGGAGGGAGTATCAAGGGCTCCTCCTCCTTGGTTGGCTCGACAAGTGGTGGCAGCGCCGGGAGGGGCGAAGACAGAGACTCCTTCTGCTCCACAATAGACGAAACCATCTTCTCGAGGTTCTCGGAAGAGATGTGCCTGCTGCGAGTGCTCGTGCACGAGTCTTGTCGTCGGATGCGTGGCCTGGAGATGTCGAGTGGGGAGCAGTCGGAAGAGAACTCGACGGCTTCGTCGTTCTCGAGCGAGTCGACGCTGGCAGATAGCCTGGGAACGTCTTCGGCAGAAGACTTGCGTGCTGGGCGTTGAATTTCGCGCGGCAGAGAGGTGGCGGTCTTGGGTGCAGTCTCGCTAGGGACCTCCTCCATTAATAACCTCCAGACGAGGTTCTCTAATCTTCTTCCTTGTGGCAGAGCGTCTGCGCACCTCGAGAGCACTGGATTTCTGGTCAAGACCCGAGCTGGGTGGGGGTGGGGGTGGGGACGACTTACTGCACCAGAGGCTGAAGAGGTTCTGGGGGTTGGATGTGTCGACTTGATGGATTATATTGGCATCCACCTGAAGTACAGGCGCATTGAGGGTCGAGGGCATTGCGCGGAGGCTATGGTGCTCGAGTGAGGTCGAGCAAGTGCTGAAGGCCGACCAGGGCAGGGTGGATCGGTGAGTGCTGGTCGCGAGGCGGTCGCGAGGTAGAAGCGCAATTCGTGCGAAGATGAACTCTTGGTGGTAGAGTTCGAATCGTCACCGAGGGTGGAGTGGATCGCAGGAGAGAAGTGGCCGTCGAAAGGTGGGGATATCAGCCGGTGATATGTCTGTAGGTCGTGGTATACTGCTCAAGGTCGATGCGCGATGACGCTGCAAAGTAAGGACCTTGGTTGGGCGGTGCACTGAGGGCGAGAAAGTGCGTGAAGGCTGCGGTGGATGTTGCAGGTAGGGTGGACGACGAGTGTGAGGACTGCTTCTAGGACAAACCGGTCGTAAAAGGTTGCGCCGGTGAGGTGAGGTCGTCGTTGTGGAAAGTTGTAGTTGTAGATAATGAGAGGAAGAGGAGGACGGGCAGTGGTGGACGGTGGGGAGAGGGAGACGGGATGTAAATGTAATGTAGTGGACGCCGTCCCTGGTTTGGTTGGGTTGGGGATGTACCTCTGGGCGGGGAATGATGGGAGAGGGTACTTGGGAGATGTATTTTGCCGGAGAAGCAGCGCTGTACGGGTACCCCTTCCCAGGGAAGTCGAGCCTGGGTCATCAGCAGAACGATGGACAGGGGAGGACGAGTGGAGCTGGGAAGTGGAGGGGGGGATCTGCTTTGGCTGACCAGGGCCCTGGGCGTGGGATGGGACTTTGTGCGGTGAAGGGCCACACTCTGGGCAGGGGCCAGGGAGGAGGGGAGGAGCCCAAGTCAGGGCCTGGCCAAAGGGACGTTTTCAGATTCAGTGACAGCGACACCAGCGGCTGGTACGTACCCGTATCCGGTACAAAGCACCACGAGTCGGTACGTACCGATGCACATGTACGTACTCGGTACACATGTACTTGGGGTCTCCGTTTGGGTACGTACCTGTCCACGTCCCGCCGTGTCGGCCAATGTATGTACCTAAGTATCTTTTCCTTCGAATCGAGCAGCAGCAACAACAAAGCCCATCCATCCATCCATCCCATCCTATGCCATCCATCCCACCCGCCCATGCCTGCTCTGGGACAATGTGATCTCCCCAGACAGCACTGGATGTTGGCCATCAAACGCGCAAAGCACTTGATGAAGCGGGACGAGAAGCACCGAAGTTTCTCCCTGGCCGTGACTGACTGATGCCTCCTTCGTCCTGTCTGTCCGCTGGCTGAGCGTGCGCAAGCACGATATCTACGTATAGATAGAAACCGGCACTCGGTTCGACCTTTGCCGGTTGATACGGAAGCGACTGCCCACGGCTCAGGCACCGTAGACACGGAGCGCTGTGCTGTGATGCAGCAGATGTCTTGCTGCCTTTTCCTTGCCTCCACTTTTGATACTCCTCTGAGGCCCAGAACGTTGGGAGAAAGGGACTTCGGATTGTCTGAGATGCGCCAAACGGGCTGAGTTCGAAGGACGGGCGTCTTTTCTCAGAGACGGGCCGACCGGGGGAGGAACGCTTTTACCTGATGGGGCAGTATTGCAAACGGCGGGCATCCAAAGGGGGCAGTACCTGTGGTGCCGTTTTGGGCAAGCTTCGAAAAGGGACGCCAACCCGTTTGGGTAGCACACGGCGGCCCAGCTTTCGCGCAGGTCCGCTCGTCACATGATGGACTTTGACAGCTCGCCAAATCCCCATGTTCCCAAGCACCTGTCACCACAGTTCCCCATCGGGTCAAACGCGGCTGGGGGGTACTGCCCCAAATGGAGAAGCCGCCCTCTTGCACCGTTCTGGCCCTTCTGGCCGACGGTTCGTAGAAATGCCCCCAGATCGGCCAAGTTCCGCAACCAGCGACGCGGATGCACAAAACGGTGAGCTCGCCTCTCCGTCCCGCCCTTTGTGGACTGCGGGCGCGTCTCGATGCTCCCTCCCCTTGTCCCCCCAAGCTGGCCCCCCCCGAAACGGATCCGATCAACAGCCTCAAAGCCACCGTCCCGTGACCCTCTCTCGACCCAATCCAGTCCCGGCCCAGCCTGAGGTGTCCATCCCGCGCCTCATCAAAGTCGCTCCCTGCCGGCGTGCCCTACCCTGCCTTGCCCTGCCCTGCCCTGCCAGACAGGACTGACTGACTGACTGACTGACTGGCCTGGCCCGGCCCTGAGCTTGACGCCTCGCTCGGTCACCCACGCAACCCGCGTCCCTCACCTTGGGCCCTGCTTGGGAGGAAGTCGATTCCCGATTCCCCGGCGAATTGACTGGGCCTGGGTCCCGCCCGTGTCACGGTCACGATGTTCACGTCCCTGGATGCGTCCAGATCTGCGTGCGCATGGCTGATCATGGACAAAGTCGTTTGTCGCCCGCCCTGCCAGCCCTGCCCGCCGCTGCTCGACCGCGCATTCGTGCGTGTCAAAAGTGCATCACAAGACTGCCAGGTGGACAACGCATTGCTTTGCCTCCCACCCCCAGCGCCGCACCGACCGGTTCGCTTCCCCAGATTTAGGGTTTTGGTTTGATGAGGACATCCCATATGACCCCCCATATGACCACCTGCAAACGGCTGCTATTTTTGATACGTGCTGCAATCAATCTGTTGTCAGGTCGGATAATCTTGCTTGCATCGGATTGGGGTCCCCGGGCCCAAGCCCCCAGCCCTGGCAGATATGGCAGGGCAGCAGGCTGCACACACGGCAGTCCTCTTCAGCCCGATAGCCAGACCAGCCCAGCCCAGCCTGACAAGCTGGATGCCTCACCCAACCGCAGCATCTACCGCGCCGCGCACGCATCCCGTGGCGCTCGCTGATTGAACAAAATCAAGAGAGCTGAGGACCAGGTCTTGGTCACAATCCAGGGCTGCCAGGCAGGTTTGTGGACTCATTCCATGGCCGTGGCCGTGGCCATCGCCATCGCCATCGCCCACAGGCAAGACGCCGGGCAAGGCAGTGCTGGCCAGCGCAGAACTGACGTGACTGGCCCTACTGGTGGGAATCAGGCCTAAAGCGGCTTGGAACTCCCGCCCCTTTCGGGAGCAGATGACCTCGGGACATGCTCATGGCATTCCGGGAGCGTCATCAGAAGCGTCAATCCAGTTTGCCTCGGACGGACGGACAGACATCTGTCTAATTGATTATCCGAGGCCTGATATTGACCTCGCACTCTGCCCAGCTGGCGATCATCGGTGCGCCATGCTACGCACTGCAGTGCTCGCTAGCTCAACCACCGGCTGCGACCCCTTTGCTCTGGAGGCGCTGCGCTGCTGCTGCTGCTGTTGCTGTTAGGTAGCCATGTGCGCGTGCTAGATGATAATGGCAGATGCTATCCGGCATGCCTAGGCCGTGTCTCTGGGCCAATGTTGTCGGACGTTGCAGTGGGGGAGACGTGGTCGACGAGGTCATCTGCCCCAGGATCAAATCCTACCGCCAGTGGCTGAAAGGCACGGGTGTTAGCAGTACAGGCTCGCTCGCCAGTGACCTACCGAAACACGCAATGGCTCCTGGGTCGCCTTCGCTGTCGTGTAGCAGTGGGGGTCCTCTTTGCTTTTCTTGCCAATGACTGTTCTCACGGACCTTCGAAACACCACGCACTTTCCTCGTGTTCCGCACGATGGCCATCCGCACCACATGATAGGAGAACAGGTCGTCTCGAAAGGCCTCTCGTGCCTCCCTTGCTAAACCTGCCTCCTGAGCTTGTTTTACGCGACGACGGCCGAGCGAGAAATGCCCTTCTCTCGACCCCCATTCATTGGATTGTGCGCGCTAACGAGCAACAATCCACACTACTGATAATAATACGTCCGCACTTGATTGACAAAGGCGGTTCAACCATTCTCCCACCGGGGCACACAACGGCCCTCACAGTTTCAGCTCTGGGAGTCTGGGACCCCCCTTCCCGTCTTACCACCTCCCGTGTCTGGCTTGACGTTAAAAGCAGCGCCCAGGCGCACCAATCGAGGGCATCCCGCGCTTGTCCCTTGCTGATCTGATCAACAACCCACGGCCGCGCAAGGGTTTCGAAGCCCATCAAAAGCATCACCATCTCCCCCCCCCCCGTCTAACCCGTCAGCCCCAGGCGGTGGGAGCGTCTCCCCGGTGCGCCGGGGCTCCAGTGACCACCCATCCATCCCATTACTGAAAGCTGACAGAATCAGGAGGGACCCCCGCGCGACGACGGCGGGAAGGACCAGACGGCGCGGGCCATTGCTTACCAAAGCGCGGCCTGACGTGCTGCCTGACTGACAGCTCACCCACTCTCTCGGGGGCCCTTGTTGATCCCATCAGGATGCAGTTCCCTGGGGGTTGAGGGCGCCCTGCCCGCGCCCCCGTTGCTGCATCGTGGTATTTCGACCAACGGATTTCTTAATCCGGACCTTCGAAACGCCCGGACCCGTCTCCCCAATGGTGTACCCCCATCTCGGCGAAGGAGAATACATCTCAATGGCAGACTGACAGGGCCCCTGGGGTCTTAAGGGGTTTCCCCCATTTCGTCTCACCTTGGATTAATCCGGGGAACGGAATGGAATGGGGAGGGGAGGGGGAGGAAACAACGTCGGCAAAGGTGAAGCGAGCGAGCAGCAAGGCCTGCCCCCCCCCCCCCAGCTTGCCCCGCGTTCACCGAGGCTACCAGGGAAGGGCGACATGGTCCAGGATTCGTCCGCACACCGGTCACTTGATGGGCACCTGCGCGCGCAACGATATCATACCATATCACTATCATTATCATTAACCATCCAATCCAACACCCACACCCATACCCAGCCCTCCCACCCCCAAGGCTTCGCCAGCTTCGGCTGATTCCTTCTCGAAGCAGATTCGAAGGATGCCGAGGCCGGTCAAGTTTCTCGTCCCAGGCAGCCCATCCATCGCGCTCGACACCGCCGTGGGGTCGCAAATTGCGCAAATGCAGCCCAGCTATCACGGCTTTGTTAGAGTCCTTCCTCTTGGGTCATGCTATTCAGATTATAGAGCATTACGTGGGCGGGTGTTTTTTTTTGGACCCCCACCAAAGCCACCCCCCCTCCCATAACCAACTTCCACTTTCGAACCGCCAACCCATCCTTCTCTGTAGGAAGCGAAGCTGCACGTGGCGCCTCGACAACATATCTCCGCAAACGTGGCCAGCCCTTTTTTTTTCCTTGCCTTTGTCTCTGAAAATTTAACACCCACCCGGGAATGCGAGACGCAGACGAGGCGAAGATGGTGTGTGTTTGGGGGTTTCGCGGGCATATTTTCTGACCCGTCAATTCCCCTCCGCCCCCCGCCAGCCCCGGGAGAGGGAAGCAAGCTGACGAGGTCGAACACGATATGTATTTCCTAATCATCTTTTTTCTTCTCGACGTGTCCGCGTGCGCCATCCAGGTTTGCGTTGGCACTTGGGCACTTTTGCTTCTTCATGCCCGCCAATGGGCTCCTTGCCGTGAGGAGATTCTAGATCCTAGATGGACCCGGTCGCCGCCTCATGCGACGTGTCTGCCGTAATGCGGCTGCCTGACAAGCATTGAGAGAGAGAGAGTGTGTGTGTGTGGCATGCGTGCTTTGTTTTCCTGCGTCCTTTGCGAAGCGGCGCCGCCGTTCCCCGGGCTGCTGCCCATCATTTTTCCTTG